TGACTATACTGCAGTGATTTGGAGTCTACAATCTGCTGGTCTGTGATCTGCGAGAGCTCATCGAACAGCTAGAGAGACATAAAGGACATCATACAAACATTTTTTATTTTGATCTTTTGAGGACAATTGTGGATGTGCATGTCAGATATAAAGTAAACTTTTGGGAGTTTGATTCCTATAAAAAAGGGAAGAGCGGTTAGTGTTGGTCGGTATCAGGCTCGTTCAGCGGGAGGGTTTGGTGGCGGGTGTATGGGGGGTGGTGGTAGTGGAAGGCTCTCTTGGGTGGTAGGTAGAGGTGGGGATGGTGTCGGTCAGTGTGAGGCTCTCTCTGTGCTGCAGGGGGTTTGGAGGGAAGGGGGGAGCGGTTAGTGTTGGTCGGTGTCAGGCTCTATATTTCCGGAGGTGGGGTGGTGGTGTTGGTCAGTATCAGGCTCGTTCAGCAGGAGGGGTTGGTGGCGGGTGTATGGGGGGCTGTGGTAGTGGAAGGCTCTCTTGGGTGGTAGGTAGAGGTGGGGGTGGCACCGGTCAGTGTGAGGCTCTCGCTGGGCGGGGGGGTTGGAGGGAAGGGAAGAGCGGTTAGTGTTGGTTGGTATCAGGCTCGTTCAGCAGGAGGGTTTGGTGGCAGATGTATGGGGGGTGGTGGTAGTGGAAGGCTCTCTTGGGTGGTAGGTAGAGGTGGGGGTGGCATTGGTCAGTGTGAGGCTCTCGCTGGGCGGGGGGGTCGGGGGGTCGGAGGGAAGGGAAGAGCGGTTAGTGTTGGTCGGTATCAGGCTCGTTCAGCAGGAGGGTTTGGTGGCAGGTGTATGGGGGGTGGTGGTAGTGGAAGGCTCTCTTGGGTGGTAGGTAGAGGTGGGGATGGTGTCGGTCAGTGTGAGGCTCTCTCTGTGCTGCAGGGGTTTTGGAGGGAAGGGGGCAGCGGTTAGTGTTGGTCACTGTCAGGCTCTCTCCGTGGGAGTGGGTGGTGGTGTTGGTCAGTCTCAGGCTCTTTCAGCAGGGGGGAGGGTTGGTGGCGGGTGTATGGGGGGCGGTGGTAGTGGAAGGCTCTCTTGGGCGGGAGGTAGAGGTGGGGGTGGTGTCTGTCAGTGTGAGGCTCTCTGCGCGGCGGGGGGGGGTCGGAGGGAAGGGAAAAGTGGATGAGCGGTTAGTGTTGGTCGGTGTCAGACTCTCTATTTGCGGGGCTGGGGTGGTGGTGTTGATCTGTATCAGGCCCTTTCAGTGGGGAGGGGGTTGATGATGGTGGTTGTATGGGAGGTGGTGGTAGTGGAAGGCTCTCTTGGGCGGGGGGAGCAGTTAGTGTTGGTCTGTGTCAGGATCTCTCCGCGGGGGTGGGGTAGTGGGTTTGTCGGTGTCAGGTTCTTTCAGCGGGGAGGTGGACAATTTTTGTGTTGCCTAGGGCAGCACAAAACCTAAGTACACCACTGCCTGCACCTGCCACCCTGCTGCAGTAAATGTACTGTGGTGGGGTGACAAGTGATTAAAGACTCTGTCAAAGATACCGTATTAATATAGTGTACCCAATAACAATTTAAACTACATAAACTACAGACATCAGATTCACATTACAGTTTGTCCTTTAAAAGCTCATCGTCTTTCATTTGTCAGTTTGTAAAAAAATGTTGGTACAACCTACGTACATGTAACGCACAGTAGTGGTGGTCATCTTCATCTAGCGGCCAATGTGCAAAATACTTAGTTCAACATGATCCCAATACAGTAGAGTGCACGCACGAGAAAACCTCCAGAAACCTGGGAGGGGGACCCCAAGGTTTCAACGGTCTAGGGGCCTCCAGAGTTTAATCCAGCACTGTCCTTGTCCCCCTCCACTCACAATACGTCCTCAGTCTTTGACCGAAACTCAGAATGATTTTTTTTTCACCAAGCAGACAGCCATTTAATATGGGGCCTTCTAGATAGTCAGCATGTTCCAGCTGTGCACCGCTGGGACTAGTCCCCTGTATAAATGGTAAAACTGCTACATGGCACCATCCCAAGATCACAAGCCGACATACCATACAAGAGCAATGACCCTCCCCACATATACACCCTTATAAACCATACCTCATTGTTCTGCGTTTGAAACTCATGAATCTGCTTGACGCCGGCCTCCTCGTTTTCAGTCACAGCCTCCTGCCGACATTCATTAAAGATGGCCATTTCATCTTCTCTTTTTTCGTGGTGCTTGAGGCCATAATCGAATATAGCCTGACACACCTCCGTACACTTCGTCCTGTATGTGGGGTCAATGGTAAGGAACACCACACTGCACATATGTATTAAATATGATGTGGTCATAAATGAATGGGCTCCTTTTACATAATGTGTGGTGTGAATGGGTCCTAACATGCCAAGCTGTCCAGTAAAAGTTGTAGCCATTGGGAGGAACCATATAACACTGCTGGGGGTGCTTACATAAGTCAGGTTTTCTTCATATGGTTTAAAGTGGTTGTAATCTCTTACGTATACCAAGTGAAGTGACTGGCCTCAGGTGATACACAGAGATAGAAGAACTCCTCCTACATAAGTTGTACCTGTTTATCTACTCTCTTTTCTACATCTGTTCAAAGTCCACTCTCAGGAATAACAAGACATGGATCCAAGTATACCGAAGAAGAGGTTATGTTCACCATACCTTAAACCAGAAGAAATTACTGGATTAGACCCGACAGAAGAAATAGCTTTATGAAAATTGAAATTCAGCACCGGGACCCAGTGAGATCACCCTGTATACCAAAAAACTGGCAACTGCCAATATCTACTATATCCGCAGTGAGGATGATAAAGAAATACGTTCAAACTTCTTGAATGACCGATGCTCTCAGGGTCTATGTGCCCAAAGCACCGCACTGCTTTACCATTTCTATGGCAGCTGAGGCTTCAAGCTACAGGGGTTTGGTTTAATATTGACCTGTGAGCTCAACTGGTTATGGAGAGACTGTACAGTGACCCAGCTAAGACCCAAGTCACCAGATAATGCAAACGTTATTAAATATCTATTGATCTCTCCACCATGATCGTCGCATGATGGCGACACTGGGAACATCCAAGCGTGATGACGACACTGGGAACGTCCAAGCGTGATGACCACACTTGGAAAGTCCAAGCTGGATGGCGACAATGGAAACATTCAAGTATGATGACGACATTTGGAATGTCCAAGCGCGATGATGACACTGGGAACATCCAACCGTGACGACCACACTGGGAACGTCAAACCGTGACGACCACACTGGGAACGTCAAACCGTGACGACCACACTGGGAACGTCAAACCGTGACGACCACACTGGGAACGTCCAACCGCGACGACCACACTGGGAACGTCCAACCGCGACGACCACACTGGGAACGTCCAACCGCGACGACCACACTGGGAACGTCCAACCGTGACGACCACACTGGGAACGTCCAACCGTGACGACCACACTGGGAACGTCCAACCGTGACGACCACACTGGGAACGTCCAACCGTGACGACCACACTGGGAACGTCCAACCGTGACGACCACACTGGGAACGTCCAACCGTGACGACCACACTGGGAACGTCCAACCGTGACGACCACACTGGGAACGTCCAACCGTGACGACCACACTGGGAACGTCCAACCGTGACGACCACACTGGGAACGTCCAACCGTGACGACCACACTGGGAACGTCCAACCGTGACGACCACACTGGGAACGTCCAACCGTGACGACCACACTGGGAACGTCCAACCGTGACGACGACACTGGGAACGTCCAACCGTGACGACGACACTGGGAACGTCCAACCGTGACGACGACACTGGGATTGTCCAACCGTGACGACGACACTGGGAACGTCCAACCGTGACGACAACACTGGGAACGTCCAACCGTGACGACGACACTGGGAACGTCCAACCGTGACGACGACACTGGGAACGTCCAACCGTGACGACGACACTGGGAACGTCCAACCGTGACGACGACACTGGGAACGTCCAACCGTGACGACGACACTGGGAACGTCCAACCGTGACGACGACACTGGGAACGTCCAACCGTGACGACGACACTGGGAACGTCCAACCGTGACGACGACACTGGGAACGTCCAACAGCGGTGACGACACTGGGAAATGGGCAGGATTCCAGTGTCATCATCACACTTGAGCATTTTTGAGCTACAGGAGTACCTGATTTGTGGCAATACCTGTGAGTTAGTCTCTTTTTCCATGCATATGAGATTTCCATCTTGATATATCCCTCTGTGATCCAGTATATGAGGATGGCAGTCTTGCGTGGATTTTACAAAAGTTTCTTTTAGACCTTCAATTAATAATGGGAGGTGATTGTAAAATTGAGCTGCTCTCTCATGGGAAAAAAAAAATCACTGGGTGTTTTGAGATCGCGTAACCACTGACAGTGCCCTCCAACCTACCATAGTGGCTACCAGCCTCCTACAGTGTCCCCCAGCCTACTGCAGAGCCTCAAAACCCCCATAGTGCCACCAACCTGCAAAAATGTCCCACACTTTCTACAGTGCCCTTCAGCCCCGCAGCACCTGCCAGTGCCCCTGAAAAAGTTCCCATCCTCCTGGAGCGACCCCATTCCTCAGCTTCCCCCAGCGTCCTCCAGAAATCTCATCCCCTACAGGCTCACCAAGTTCTAAACCTTCTAGAACCCCAATCCTCCCACAGTGGCACCCAGCCCTATCCAGAACATTCCAGAATTTCAATACACATTTTGCATTCCCAAACTTTTGTGTGTTAGTATAAACTTTTTTTTTTTTATACACTTTCAGGGGCATGGAAGGTTTTGGAAGAATGTACAGGCCATGCTATCAATAAGCCTGCTATAGACACAAAATGGCTTACACCACTGAGTAACCAGTTACATTTAAATTAACACATCAGTGATTCAAAAACATTTTCTAGAGGTAACATCTCTCCTAGTTTGATACAAGGAGGATAGAAGGATATGAGTCCACTAGTTCATCCATACCAGGAAGTGTAGACAACCGAGTTCCATCGACATCCTCTGCATACATGGCCTCGAAAAGGAAGGGGCCATTCAGATATTCCACGTAGGCAGCCTTAAAGTAAACATAATACAAACGTGAGAGATACACTTTCACAAAGCATAGCACTTCAGGAAATAGAAAATCTCTGCTGCCCATGGCAACCAACAAGTTATCAGCTATGATTTTGGTGGAACATCAGCAAATGAAAGAAAGTCTTTAAGGACATCGGACACACACTAGTTAATAATTTTCAGGATCTACCTTGTGCTTATCCAACTCTTGCTTACTCTGTTCTTCTTTTTCCCTCTTCACTCTCTCCAAAGTCTCATTATGATTCATTTCCTCAATGGAGTACTGGTACTTCACATTGGCTATGTCTCTCTGAAAATATACAATGCACACATTCTGGGATATCATAATGACTTTAAAGTGAACCTGTGGTTAGCCTACGAATTTTCAAATATGTATATATTCTTAACAAGCAATAAATGAGCTTTAAAACAAGCCCTCACTGACCTATGTAGCTGCAAGCACTGTGGAGCAATTTATTCTCGATCATTTAATTCTCTTAGCAGCTAAGCTCTTCTCGCCCCCCCCCCCTCTCAGTAGTGATTCAGAAGCTCAGCTTCCCCTGCTCCTCACTCCCAGTCATACATTCGCAGCTCAGATCTTGTTCTCCCTGTCAGCAGTGACTTCTCGGCACACGTTGACATTGCTCTCCCCACCCCCCACCTTCCAGACTCAGCAGCCTTCTAATATAAAAACAGAGCAGGAGCTCTAAGTTGGGGGAAGAAGGTGCATTGAGCTGCTGAGCCGGGAGGGAATCAGAAGAAGCTGAGCATTGGTTTCATTTGTGGGAGAGGGGAGCAGGGTTAGCCGAGCTGAGCTTCTATATCACGGCTGGTGGGGGAGCAGAGGGAGCTGAGTTTCTGTGTCACCGCTAGGAAGGGGTTGCAAGGGAAGGCTGGGCTGCTGAGTCACTGCAGGAAGGGGGAGCAGAGTGAGCTGAACTGCAGTGCCACTGCTAGGTAATAGGAGCTAGGCAATAGGAGGGAGTTGCATGGATGAATTGGTCCACAGTGCCTGCAAGAGAAATAGCAGTACATCATATTGACCATTTTTCTAATTACAGAATGTAGGAATACTGGTACATGGCATTGGCCACGTCTCTGAAATACAAAATGAAGGAATACGGGTACATCGCATTGGCCACGTCTCTGAAATACAAAATGAAGGAATACAGGTACATTGCATTGGCCATGTCTTTGAAATAACAAATGAAGGAATACGGGTACATCGCATTGGCCATGTCTCTGAAATACAAAATGAAGGAATACGGGTACATGGCATTGGCCACGTCTCTGAAATACAAAAGGAAGGAATACCGGTACATTGCATTGGCCACGTCTCTGAAATACAAAATGTAGGAATACCGGTACGCCAAATGGACCATGTTTCTAAAATAAAAAATGTAGGAATACCAACCATATCGCTCAATACAAAATGTAGGAATACCGGTACATTGCATTGGCCATGTCTCTAAAATACACAATGGGGGAACATCAGTATGTCAAATTGGCCATGTTTTGTAAAATACAAAATGAAGGAATATCAGTATGTCACAGTGGCCACGTCTCTAAAATATAAAATGGAGGAATACCAGTGCATCACCTTGGCCATGTCTGAAATATACGCAATGAGGGAAAACCAGTATGTCATATTGGCCATGTTTCTAAACTACAAAATGGAGAAATACTGGTACATGTCTCTAAACTACAAAATGAGGGAATACTGGTACTCCAGATTGACCATGTCTCTGAAACACAAAATGGACTAACACCAATACGCCATATTGGCCATGTTTCTAAAATATAAAATGGAGGACTACATCACATTGCCTATGTCTCCAAAGTACAAAATGGAGGAATGCCAGTATGTCATATTGGCCATGTCTCTAAAATACTAAATGGAGGAATACCAGTATGTCATTTTGCCAGGTTGTTAAAATACAAAATTGGGAAATACCAGTACGTAACATTGACCAAGTAGCTAAAATATAAAATGGAGAAATACCCCTTCCATGGTTTTTAAATACAAAATAGAGTACAAATTTCCCAATATATTACAGAGATCTTATCTACTCCTTTGACTAACATGTCCAGCACAGATGTATGTCTTTGTCAGTGTTGATATTGTTACTTTATGTCCATTTTAATATTATTAACACCTATTTTGCATTAAAAAAAAATACAAAGTGAGAAATAATGTCATCAGAATTTTGTGAATATTTCTTGATATTACAATTCATAAAATAGAAAAAAAGAGTACATAAAAAAGAAATACTGGTATGTCACATTGGGTATGTCTCAAATACAAAATGCAGGAATGTTGGTACTTAGATTGGATTCACATTTGAGCGTAGCGCCTTTGAGCATTTTCTGTTCCTTTGTTGTTTTCATACAGCATTTTTGAGATTTGTCTTTTTTTTTATTAGCCAATAGAGAAAAATATCATCTGTTGCAATCACTTGTTGCTAGGTCTTTCAGCTTTTATTTCTTTTCTTGTTTTTCTTTTTTTTTTTTTTATTATTAGGGTAAGGGGTTACAGTTAGGGTAGGGATTAGGGTTTGGGTTGGGGGGGTTAATATTTTATTTATTGTCTTATTTTTTTTGTCAGAGATAGGGTGTTAATAATAATAAAAAATTTATAAATAAATGTAAAGTAAATAAAATAAATGCACAAATAAATAAATAAAAATAATCATACATTAATAAAATAAATGAATAATATATAAGAAATAATTAACCCCTAACCTTAACCCCCAAACCCTTAAAAAAAGTAAATAATATTAATATTATTAATAATAAACACCCCAACTCTCCGCTGGCTATCACCGCTTCAGTCCATCCTGAATACGGCAGCCAGACTCATTCACCTTTCTAACCACTCCATCTCCGCCACCCCCCTCTGCCAATCCCTCCACTGGCTTCCGATTGCGCAACGGATCAAAATCAAAATCCTAACACTGACGTACAAAGCTGTCCACCATACTGCCCCGAACTACATCACTGACCTAATATCCAAGTACCACCCAGCACGCACACTCTGCTCCTCACAAGACCTCCTTCTCTCTAGTTCCCTGGTCTCCTCCTCCCATGCCCGCCTCCAGGACTTCTCCAGGGTGTCACCCATCCTCTGGAACTCCCTGCCCCAACCCATCAGATTATCACCTACTCTCCTCTCCTTTAGGCGCACCCTGAAAACCCATCTCTTCAGGGAAGCCTACCCCACCCCCTGCTAACTTGCCGACCTCCTCCACTCTTTCTACCACTCCATCCCCCACAGCTATCTCCTCCTGTGCCACCATCCCCTCCCTCCTAGATTGTAAGCTCGAAAGAGCAGGGCCCTCAATCCCCTCATGTTTTGCATTGTATTGGTATTGTTCTGTCACATGTTCTGTCCCCCTAATGTACAGCGCTGAGCGAACCATTGGCGCTTTATAAATACTGTATAATAATAATAATCTGTTGCAATCACTTGTTGCTAGGTCTTTCAGCTTTTATTTCTTTTCTTGTTTTTCTTTTTTTTTTTATTATTAGGGTAAGGGGTTACAGTTAGGGTTAGGTTAGGGATTAGGGTTTGGGTTGGAGGGGGGTTAATATTTTATTTATTGTCTTCTTATTTATTTTGTCAGAGATAGGGTGTTAATAACAATAATAAAAAATTAATAAATAAATGTAAAGTAAATAAAAATAAATGCATAAATAAAAATAATCATAAATTAATAAAATAAATGAATAATAAATAATTAACCCCTAACCTTATCCCCCAAACCCTTAAAAAAAGTAAATAATAATAATTTTATTAATAATAAACACCCCAACTCTAAAATAAATAATAATTAAAAAATTTTTGTGTTCGGGTTTGAGTGTTTATTTATTATTATCATAATCATTCATAATTTATTTTTTTTTTGTTAGGGTTGGGGGTTAAGGTTACGAGTTAAGTATTATTTATTTTTATATAATAAGCGCTTAGGAGCCTCGCGCTTTATGCTACAAATCGCTCAGGTGTGAATGGGGCCTTAATGTTAGCTACTCTATTTTACTCAAATGGAAAACAGAGGAAAACCAGTATTGGTAATGGGCACACACAAAATATAAATGTCACGTATAAAGTCCATCTTACTATATTGTCATCTAGAAGTCTGAAGTCCAGGTACACCAGGTTTGGGAGGTGAGCAGCAACAAACAATTTACAGTTTTGGTCCTCACACATTGGATTCCCTGCGAGATTTAACGTCCGCAAATGTTCAAACCTGCGCAGGTAGACGAGCTGGAAGCAAAGGGAAATACGGAGATAAGGAGACATAAACTGCTGATATTGTAAGTGAACTCTGACTTAATAAAATCCGTTTTATAAATGAGGAACTATTAAAATCAATACAGAATTAGCCATCCACCACCTAGACCAGGGGTGGGCAAACTTTTTGACTTGAGGGCCACAATGGGTTCATATATTGGACCCGGGGGCCGGACCAAGAGTAGATGAATGATGTGTATGTGTCATCCATAGTAAGTATAGTAATATTCCCCCATAGTAAGCATAGTAATTAATCCCCCATATAGTAATTCATCCCCCATAGTAATTCATCCCCCATAGTAATTCATTCCTCATATAGTAATTCATCCCCCATATAGTAATTAATCCCCCATATAGTAATTCATCCCCCATAGTAATTCATCCCCCATATAGTAATTCATCCCCCATAGTAATTCATCCCCCATATAGTAATTCATCCCCCATATAGTAATTCATCCCCCATATAGTAATTCATCCCCCATAGAGTAATTCATCCCCCATATAGTAATTCATCCCCCATAGTAATTCATCCCCCATAGTAATTCATCCCCCGTATAGTAATTCATCCCCCGTATAGTAATTCATCCCCCATATAGTAATTCATCCCCCATATAGTAATTCATCCCCCATATAGTAATTCATCCCCCCTATAGTAATTCATCCCCCCTATAGTAATTCATCCCCCATAGTAATTCATCCCCCATAGTAATTCATCCCCCCTATAGTAATTCATCCCCCCTATAGTAATTCATCCCCCCATATAGTAATTCATCCCCCATATAGTAATTCATCCCCCATATAGTAATTCATCCCCCCTATAGTAATTCATCCCCCATAGTAATTCATCCCCCATAGTAATTCATCCCCCATAGTAATTCATCCCCCATAGTAATTCATCCCCCATAGAGTAATTCATCCCCCATAGTATTTCATCCCCCACAGTACTATTCCCCCCCAAGTAGTAAGCCAAGTCCCCCCTGTGTCAATTCACTTACCTTTGCTCCGCGCGTTCCTCTCGCCGTGTGTTCCCGCGCCGTTCCGGTCTTCAGGGCGGACTGTGAGAGGAGCCTAGCTCCCCTCACGTTCGTCACGCTGCCCCGCCTACACACATCCTGATAGCCACACCCACGGGCCGGATTAAAAGGTCCGCCGGGCCGTAGTTTGCCCATTGCTGACCTAGACACAGCTTACCAACTAAGATGACTCCCTAAAGTATAAATGAAAGCAACCCCCTTTTTTTTTTAACTACTTGGAGCAGGGGTGTCCAAACTATGGCCCTCCAGCTGATGAAGTACTACAAGTCCCATCATGCCTCTGGGAGACTTGCCTGTGGATGTCAGAGTCTTGCAAGGTCTCACGGGACTTGCAGTTCCTCAACACCTGGAGGGCCCTAGTTTGGACACCCCTGAGACTACCGGAGATATACTGTGGCAGAGCGGCCTCCCTGTGCTGGTTCACATGCATGTACGTGATCCAGCTATTCCGAGTAGGACGCGCACATGCACGCCCGGCACCTCGGATGTGCTGTCATTCGCTACAGCACATGCTGTTCAGCAGGTCCCGGCCATCGATTTATTGCTGGAACCCAGCGAATGATAGAGGAGCGCCCTGTATTGGTAAACAACACAGGGCTCTTTAACTACATGCCCTCCAGGCCATTTTTTGCAATATGGCGCTGCGTTATTTTAACTGACAAATTGCGCGGTCATGCACCATTGTACGTAAATAAAATGTATCTCCTTTTTTTTGCCACACAAATAGAGCTCTCTTTCAGTTGTATTTGATCACCTCTGCATTTTTTATTTTTTGCACTATAAACAAAAAAAGACCGACAATTTTGAAAAAAAACAAAACAATATTTTTGACTTTTTGCTATAAAACATATCCAATAAAAAAATGTAAATTTAAATTTAGGTCAAAATGTATTCTGCTCCATGTCTTTGCTAGAAAAACAAATATCCCAATACGTGTAAATTATTTGGTTTACGTCAAAGTGATAGCGTTTACAAATGGCGGTATATAGACTGGAATTTACATTTGTATTTATTTTTTTATACTAGTGATGGCGGTGATCAGCGACCTATAGTGGGAGTGCGGGACTGCAATGGGCATTCTGATACTGGGCGGGAGACTGACTAACTGCCACTGACATCCCCAGTGACCAATGCAAACAAAAAGCACTGACACTGTACGAATGGCACTGGGCAGGAAGGGGTTAACATCTGGGGCAAGCAAAGGGTTAACTGTGTGCTGTGTTTTACATTATGTGCTGTGTGTGTTTTACTATGGAAACATGCTATGCTGAGAAATACAAAGCAGCATGTCCTTGCTGGCAGGAGAGAGATTTGCGTTGTTTAGACACAGGTCTCTCCCGTCAGCTTTCCCCAACGATTGTTAAGTGCTGGTGGGGAAGCTCCCGGTGATTGACACCCCTAGCCGCCAATAGCGGCACGGGCAGGGTGGCGGCACATGCTCCCTACCTGGAAATGCAAATCACATTATATATACACACACACATACACACACACACGATTTTGCTCAGCCCTGCCACCCTTTAGCAGTAACCCCTTGACGCCGAGCGGCTGCATATTTATGTGCCATTAGAAAATACATATGTGCTGAGAGCGCGTGCCCTCCGCAAATGTCCGTGACTCACGGAAAGGTCCCAATCTCCCCTTGCGATCCCCTGAGAAATACCGCCCTAGGCAAATGCCTTGTGGTAAATACACCCCTGATCAGGGTTCCCATCAGAGTACCCCCCCCCTTACATCAGGTGTCCCCATCAAAGTACCCCCTTACATCAGGTGTCCCCATCAGAGTACCTCCTTACATCAGGTGTCCCCATCAGAGTACCCCTTTACATCAGGTGTCCCTATCAGAGTACCCCCTTACATCAGGTGTCCCCATCAGAGTACCCCCTTACATCAGGTGTCCCCATCAGAGTACCCCCTTACATCAGATGTCCCCATCAGAGTACCCCCTTACATCAGATGTCCCCATCAGAGTACCCCTTACATCAGGTGTTCCCATCAGAGTACCCCCTTACATCAGATGTCCCCATCAGAGTACCCCCTTACATCAGATGTCCCCATCAGAGTACCCCTTACATCAGGTGTTCCCATCAGAGTACCCCCTTACATCAGATGTCCCCATCAGAGTACCCCCTTACATCAGGTGTCCCCATCAGAGTACCCCCTTACATCAGATGTCCCCATCAGAGTACCCCCTTACATCAGGTGTCCCCATCAGAGTACCCCCTTACATCAGGTGTCCCCATCAGAGTGCCCCTTACATCAGGTGTCCCCATCAGAGTACCCCCTTACATCAGGTGTCCCCATCAGAGTACCCCCCTTACATCAGGTGTCCCCATCAGAGTGCCCCTTACATCAGGTGTCCCCATCAGAGTACCCCCTTACATCAGGTGTCCCCATCAGAGTACCCCCTTACATCAGGTGTCCCCATCAGAGTACCCCCTTACATCAGGTGTCCCCATCAGAGTACCCCCTTACATCAGGTGTCCCCATCAGAGTGCCCCTTACATCAGGTGTCCCCATCAGAGTACCCCCTTACATCAGGTGTCCCCAGGTGGAGAGCGACACCTTGTATTTTGATTCAAGGAAAAAGTAAGGTCTTGTCAAGAAGGTCTTGGATCCTTGTGGTCTCTGTTTTGACTACTATGGGAAAGAGAGGTTAGGATGAGATTGGACAGGGGTGTTTTGGGGGTGGGTATGGGAATAATGTTTATATGTATGATGTAATAAAATATATGGTGGTTGTGTAATGCATTTTTTTTCTTCTAAGAACATTTAATAAAAGATATAATAATTAAAAAAAAAAAAACCAAAATGAACAAAAAAAAAAAAAAAACACAAGCCCCCGCTTGTTTTCACTTTCCACTGACACATTTTTTTTTTTTTTGGGGGGGGGGGGCAGGTACCTGGTTTTGGCAGGTACTGGCCCCCCTCCTTCCCCCGCAGTCTTCTGGGACAAATGACAGGTCTCAGAAGACTACGGGACCAATCACATGGCGTAGCGAACTAGATCGGGTGACAATGGCGCTGGGCCCCTGAACAGGTAAATGCCCTTATATTAAAAGTCAGTATTTGTAGCTGCTGACTTAATATTTTTGGGGAGCCTGAAACTCCTCTTTAAAGCGGAGTTCCACTCACCTGTCAAAACAAAAAATCAGCAGCTACAAATACTGTACCTGTCCCTCGGTCCGGCGGTGTGTCCCCCGCAGCCCGTTTCACCGGCCGGCCGTCCTGTATTCCAGGAGGCCGGCATCTTCAGTGTGGGCACCCGGCTGTGACAGCTTTCCGCTTCACAGCCGGGTACCCACTGCGCATGCGCAAGTAGTGCTGCGCTTCATGAAGTCCTGTAGTCTTCTGGGACCTGTCATGTGTCCCAAGAGACTACAGGGAGGGAGGGAGGGAGGACACTTTCCGTTTCCGATCGCCTAGGTGATCGGACTGGAAATGGGAGCGGGTACCTGTCAACTTTAAGTACCAGCTCCCGCCCCCCAAAGGTGCCAATCCTTAACGGGGAGCGGGGGAGCAGTCCTTAAAGTGGAACTTCCCCTTTTGGGTGGAGCTCTGCTTTAAGGTGATTCAGTTTCTACACAAGTGCAAAAATGACCCTCAAGTGTCAAAGCAACAACTTGGGCAAAACACTCGGTCCTTCCTTACATTTTCCAGGGATGCCAGGTTATTATTCCCGATAGATAAGACCTGCAGATTCTTCAGGCCATCCATGTTCTCAAATACAGAAATCCGGTTATTATACAAAGTTAGATCCTCCAGCTTTGTAAGAGCGCTCAGCCCCTCGATCACCTCGATGTTGTTAAATGACAAGTCTAGAAAGCAAACAGGGGAAGTGAAAGGATTACGTGCAGCAAATATAAAGATACCAGATCACTAGCACAGTGATCAGAACACTGAAAGCCTCGTTCACAAATGCGAATATAAAGAAAAATGGAGGTAATCTTCTTGGCAGCCAGATAAAGTGGATCTAGTTTGTCACCAAAGATGGGTCAAAGTGGATCAAACCCCTTCAAAAAACTAAAGTGTTGCAGCTTTCCAGTCCTTAGATGAGGTGGCTGCATTAGTTTTCTTTTTCAGGCTTCTCTTCTTTTATTTTCTCCTGGCGATCCTGCCAGTAACACTTCCTGTCTTGGGATGACAATGCTCACTCACTGTACTGTATTTATGGAGCAGCAGTGTTGTCGCCCTAGGCTGTTGTTACATATTGTACTACAAACACCTCCCCCTCTCCTCATCTCTTTTACTTTACACAAGGGGGGTAGATTTTGTAATTTACAGATGATAGGGAAATCGATAACATTTTTTGAGATTTCAGTTTACTGCACAGGAAGTGGCAAGGACAGAGGACTTCTGGCAGGATCCACATGTATTTTTTGTAGTTTGTGAAAATGTTTCTAGGCCTCTTGTACACTTGCTTTTCTCTCTCAATAGCAAGCCGATCTTCGGAAATGTAAAAGGCGGTGAAGAAGTGATGTATTGCCTTCTCATCATCTGGATTAAAGTGATAATAAAAGCTCAAATTTAACAAAAAAATAACAAACATGTTATACTTCCCTGCTCTGTGTAATGCTTTTGCACAGAGCAGCCCCGATCCTCCTTTTCTTAGGTCCCCCGCCAGCGCTCCTGACTCCTTCACTCTTCAAGTACCCCCCCCCCCTCCTCCCCTTCCCCAGCAAGTTCATAAACAGAGACAGCGGGGCTTTGTCCTGCCCCTTCGGCCTTTAAGACCACTTTAACGCCCTGCATGCTGGACTACTGCGATGCAATCACATGCATTGTGCGTGGTTGGGGGGTGCTTGCAGCGAAGCCCCATTCACTTAAAGTGCCACTAAACCCCCAGCAGTACAATCAGTCTGTAGATGCAGTAAAAGCGTGCTTGTTATACTCACTGTGGAACCTAAGGGGTTAATCCTCTGCATTGTGTAAAAATGCTGTTTGCTCCTGTCTTCTCTGTTCCTCCCCTTCTTCAAGTGACCACCTCTTCTCTATAAGGTTGATGCGTGTAATTATTGGCTCCAGATAAATACACATAAGAAACACATGCAAGGGAGCTGGTTTACCTACCAGAAGGCTTTTATTTCTTTCCATCCAGTCCTAAGATTTACACAGCTCTGCCTTGTCTTGAAGGGCAGGAGACCTGATTTTTCCCTGATGCAGATAAACCCACAACAATAAAATCAGTCTGTATATGCAGTAAAGCATGCTTGTGGAATCTAAGGGGTTAATCCTCTGCATTGTGTAAAAAGGCTGTTTGATCCTGTCTTCTCTGCCTCTCCTCTTGTTCAAATGTCCACATCTTATCTCCTGATAAGAGACTGTACCGTAGCCATTCTGCGCATGCTCAGGTTAGTGTGTATTGCTAGAGACGTTTTTTTTTGTCCTTGGGAGAGTGCTTGTAATCAGCACAGAGCCAATCAACACTGTCCAGACAGAGGTCAGGGGATTTCCATCCTCCTAGAGCAGAAAGAAAACTCCTCCTACAAGCTTTGGCTAGTGGTGGGCTGGACACTGATAGAAGTCACAAGACTGCTCTAACTGCTGCTGATGAGAAATGGTATTTAGCAGTTTATATTTACTAAAATAATTGCATTTCCATGTTGTGTGTACTGTGGGAGACCAGATATAGTGAATGCAGGGTCCGGGGAGACCGGATATAGTGAATGCAGGGTCCGGGGAGACCAGATATAGTGAATGCGGGGTCCGGGGAGAGCGGATATAGTGAATGCAGGGTCCGGGGAGACCAGATATAGTGAATGCAGGGTCCGGGGAGACCGGATATAGTGAATGCAGGGTCCGGGGAGACTGGATTTAGTGAATGCAGGGTCCGGGGAGACTGGATTTAGTGAATGCAGGGTCCGGGGGGAGACTGGATTTAGTGAATGCAGGGTCCGGGGAGACCAGATATAGTGAATGCAGGGTCCCGGGAGACCGGATATAGTGAATGCAGGGCCCGGGGGGAGCGGATATAGTGAATGCAGGGTCCGGGGAGACCGGATAAAGTGAATGCAGGGTCCGGGGAGACCAGATATAGTGAATGCAGGGTCCGGGGAGACCGGATAAAGTGAATGCAGGGTCCTGGGAGACCAGATATAGTGAATGCAGGGTCCTGGGAGACCAGATATAGTGAATGCAGGGTCCGGGAGACCAGATATAGTGAATGCAGGGTTCGGGGAGACCAGATATAGTGAATGCAGGGTCCAGGGAGACCAGATATAGTGAATGCAGGGTCCGGGGAAAGCGGATATAGTGAATGCAGGGTCCAGGGAGACCAGATATAGTGAATGCGGGGTCCGGGGAGACCGGATATAGTGAATGCAGGGTCTGGGGAGAGCGGATATAGTGAATGCGGGGTCCGGGGAGAGCGGATATAGTGAATGCAGGGTCCGGGGAGACTGGATATAGTGAATGCAGGGTCCGGGGAGACTGGATTTAGTGAATGCAGGGTCTGGGGAGACCGGATATATTGAATGCAGGGTCCGGGGAGACCGGATATAGTGAATTCAGGGCCCGGGGGGAGCGGATATAGTGAATGCACGGTCCTGGGAGACCAGATATAGTGAATGCAGGGTCCGGGGAGACCAGATATAGTGAATGCAGGGTCCGGGGAGACCAGATATAGTGAATGCAGGGTCCGGAGAGACCAGATATAGTGAATGCAGGGTCCGAGGAGAGCGGATATAGTGAATGCAGGGTCCAGGGAGACCGGATATAGTGAATGCAGGGTCCGGGGAGAGCGGATATAGTGAATGCAGGGTCCGGGGAGACCGGATGTAGTGAATGCAGGGTCTGGGGAGACCAGATATAGTGAATGCAGGGTCCGGGGAGACCAGATATAGTGAATATTAATATTTGTGTGCCCAGCGTTCAGCTTTAAATATATTGTACAATAAAAGCTAATCTCAGTATGTTACTCACCCAGCCATTCTAAATTGACAAGTGTATCCAACCCCCGAATCTTCTCAATGAGGTTGTTGTCCAGCTGAAGTCTGGTCAGATTGTGAAACTGCCACAGATTATCAATCTTTAAAATCTCTAGAATTAAACAGAAAAACAAAGGAATATGAAGTAAATGAGGTTTATAATCTAATTACTTTTTTTTTACTAGTTTTTCCATTGCAGGTCAAAAATTAAAAACAGACAGCGGACTGCATGCTGAAGACAGGACTTAGGCTCCATTCAAATCTGTGTGGAGCATTAGTGAATGCACTTTAAGTTGTAAACCTCAGACGTGAAATATGAAAAAGTATACCCCTCTGTAGTGTGCACTTGCCTCAGTCCAGAGCACTGTCATTTTTGTCTGCTGGCTGCTACCAGCATGAGCCACTTCTATTGAGTTTTCCTGACACCAAGAGGAAAATGGTGACAGGGGAGGGACCTCCAGCAGATTGACAGCCTCTGCTCTATTTCTGTGTGCTGTGTGGAAGGGGGTGTGTCCCTTCCCTCCAATCAGCTCTTAGAGCTCTCCTTACTGAGCTCAGCAAAGTGTAACTTCAGCTCCCTTATTTTCTGAACTCTCAGATAACCTTTACAAATTCAGCACTTTGAACAGATGTAGAAGAGAATACAGCAGATAAACAGGCACAACTTACGTGGGAGGCTTTGTTTAATCCCTGTGTGTCGCCTGAGGATAGAGTCTTCACTGGGTACATGTAAGGGTTTTTAACCAATTTAAATGGCAATTGCGCAGTCATGCAACACTGCACCTATATGAGATTTATAATTTTTTTGCACACAAATAGAGCTTTCTGTTGGTGGTATTTGATCACCGCTGTTTTTTGTTATTATATAAAGGAAGAAAAGACCAAAAACTTTACTTGGTATATATAAGGGTTTATAACCACTTTACTGCACTACAAGAGACCATAAAATGCATCTGCACTACTTTTCAACGCAGGGCATGAAGCATAGTAGTGCCTTTCTGTGCATTGAGGCAGAGGCGTCCCTAGGGTTGGTGTCACCCAGTGCGATAACACGCGGTGTCACCCCTCCATAGAGGAAGGAGCGGTGCCGGTGCAGCGGTAAAATGAGTATCCCTTGAAGATATGTATCCCCTGAAGCAACTGCGCATGTGCCGGTTTCAGGCCGAAGAAGACGAACTCCAACTTTAGCACAGAGCCGGCGATTGGCTTCTTCGGCCTGAAACTGGCACATGCGCAGTTGCTTCAGGGGATACTCATTTTACAGCTGTCACTGTGCCGGCATCCTGCTCCTGCACCCCCTGTGATGGTGTCACCCGGTGCGGCCCGTACCCCCCTAGAGAAGCCACTGCATTGAGGTATACAGTAATACAGGTGCATCCGAGGCTCATATATTTAGTGCATTAGAGTGTCATTCAAAATGAATAGCACCACAATGCAGTACTGCATGCATTACTGTCCTAGTGCCCAACCTGCTTCCCTTTCACACACACTTACTGTGTGGCCCTTGGGGTCCCTGAAGATAATACTGTGTGTTTGGTGCTTACTCAACCAGGGAAGGAAAATATTCTGTAGGCTGATTTCTAGCAGTTAATGGTTTGATTTTGTTCCCTACTGTCCTCATTTTTAGGGGCTGTCCATCCATTCCTTTTATATATTTTTTCTTTTTTTTTTGCTCTGAACTTTTATAATGGATCTTGCTGAGGGAAATATCAAGTGTGGCACAGTGACCTTTAAAAGGCTGTTGTGAGCACTAGAGGGCAGGGCGGGGGGTGCTTCACTGTAAGCACACTGCTCTGGATGGCTGTGCTTACAGTAAACACACTTTGTTTACATCTGTCTTTCCTTCAA